GGTGATGGTTCTCTCCGACCAATCATTAATTTGCAGTGTTTTGGTACCTTTTGGTATCGAGTACCAGGTGCCTTTTACTGCTTCTGCCCGATGGAAAACTAAAAAATCTGAGTAGAATCGAGTCAAGTTGAGCCGGTACCATGCGATGGAAAAGGGCTATAAGTGATAAATACTCCGGCCAACTCTGGATTTAGCATCGTGCACACTGATCTCATGTCATCGCTGTAGTTACATGTGTAAAAATGATGCTGAAACACCCCGGGCCAGGTATTATTCTTACAGGCAGCTGTGAAGGCTTCAGCTGGCCGGTCAACAGGGGCCAAACAGAAACTGTTTGCCCTGGGGCCTCTTAACTAGTCAGTTCAGCCATGCTAACCACCAAATGACAAAATAAACTGTCAAATATATTGAACATAATTATGCATATTTACTTTCCAGTTCAATTATTCAGCATGTGTATACCTCTACTATCTGCTCTATTACTTCTAATATTGCATTTAACTCCTGCAAGCCAGTGATTACCTTCAGTTGTGGCTTTAGCAGGTGTTACATTATGCAGCCATTGCATTAGCAGTTTCCACAGAGAAGAGTACAGTAAGAATAACAACACTGTGAACCCATCAGCGGCGACTTGTGTAGTCAAACATCTGTCAAGTTCGATTAAATGTGCAATTACCGAGAAAATAACGGTCTTTTCCATTCAGACACAGTTTCAGTCAAGAATCAGGCACAGCTGAATGAATGAAGAGGCTAAATCATTAAGTGTGGTATTCTTTCTTATTATACTGGAGTTGAAGCAGGGTCATAAATTCATTCTGTCCACTGATGTTAGTAAAACCCGTGTGTTAGTAAAACAGGCCCTTCTCAGCACTTCAGGTTGCCGTCAGCTGACACAACCAATCCTACAGGCTGTTGTCAGTGTTGCTCGGTAAAACCCAGTCTGCTGTAACTGAGTTGTTAAACCAGGTACGTGACACACACATCAAAAGTGATTTGATAGATTAAATTAGTCCACATTTAATTTGATTTTATATCAAAGACATCTTTCTTCCTGAATCCAAATCCCCTTGTATGTTCCATCTACGTATGTGGAATTAAAAGCCATTAGCAGTATTGCAGCGTGACATACAATCATACTGCACGTGCACAGGCTGAACGGATATCTGTGATGCACTTATGCTAAATCTGGAAACAAACTACTAAATTATTACGAAGTGCGAGACTCATGAAAGCCAGTCGATGTCAAATTTGTTTTAGGGTTGTTGTGGAGGAGATGATGTAACAATGAGCAGCTTTGCTCTCCACCAATCCGAAGTCCTTCACACACACACACACAGACGCACACGCACACACACACACACACACACACACTATCCATGTCAGTCTGCGGCATGTCTGCTCTGTACCAGCTGTGCCCTTCTGTGTTTTTTGGAGGGGAAGGAGGGGGTGGTAGTGTATGTGTGTGTGTGTGTGTATATGTGTGTGTGTGTGCATCTGTGTGTGTGTGTGTGTGTGTGTGTGTGTGAGACACACATACACACAAACACACACACACCCTCTTACACAGACACAGATTGACAGACTGGGACATCCATTACAGATTTTTCCCCTCAACTAAAGGAAAAGTGCTCCCAGCGAGCCTCTAAAATAGAACAGTGTATTTTGATGATGATGCTCATATTCACAGACATAACTTATAATATTTTTTGCTCAGTTTGTAAATTCCTAGAAGAACACATGCTCACTTTCACACACATGATTCATGAACACGTGTTGCTGTTTTCAGTGCATATGACTCGATTACATAACACGTTTTATCATCATGTTCTGAGATCAATATTTTCTGATGTAAAATCCATGTTGGGACAAAAACTCATTATCTGTCAAAATGCTAAACAATGATGTTTTTTCTTTTAACCTCTTAGGATCCAGTTTTCCCCTTCGAGTGAAAGTTCGGTTGAAATGCACTTATTTTCTTTCTTGCTGAGAGTTATATATGAAAATCAGTACCACTCTCATGTCTGTACAGTAAATATGAAACTAATGTCAACAGCTAGTTAGCTTAGCGTAGCACAAAGACTGGAAACTGGGGCAAACAGGGGGCCTGGCTCTGTCCAAAAGTAACAAAATCCAACCATCACGATTTATAAAAGCTTAAAGGATATCATGGGTATACTAGAAACAGGAAATGCTAAAGCTAATTTGGCAGACTTTTAATGGCACCAGTTTGCCAAAATGTAAAGTATAGGCCAAAAAACAGGGCTCAAAAGAGAACACCATTACCTTCCCGTAGCTGACATTGTAACAGCACATTTGAGAATCTTTTATGGGGTCTTGTTCTGATGGTTTTATTTTTTGCCCAAGTAAGCCTACATGTTGACGTTAGCTTACACGTTAGCATCATCATTTTTTGCCTTACTCTTGTTTCCACACAGAAGTCAAATAAAGAAAAGTAGTAGAACAAGTATCTCTTCCAGTGGAAATAACTTTGCCCGCAGGAGGTAGAGCAGGTTGTCGGTTCGATTCCCGGCTTCTCCAGTCCGCATTTCAAAGTATCCTTGGGCAAGATACTGAACCCCACAAAGCCCCCGATGTGTTATTAGTGTGTGAATGTGTAGGAAATAGCGCTGTGTGAAAGTGGGTGAATGTGGCTTCCATTGTAAAACGCTTTGAGTGGTCAATAGGACTAGAAAAGTGCCATATAAGTGCGGCCCATTTACCACTTTAGAATATAAGCACATCGCTGCGGATGGGATTTATATTACAGGAGGACAAGTGAGTTCACAGAAAAACAGAAGGTAATTATATGTAATTATAACTGAGGTGGGGGTGGAAGAAAACAGACACACACACACACACACACACACACAGGGGGATGAAAATCACTGACTAAGGCAGGTGATATTAAAATCACACACCTTCCCCGGGGAAATAAATCCAGTCCGAATGGGGCGTAAGTGATGTAGACTTACTGTCATCTTTACAAAAGGTCAAGATGTACCTCATTGTATTTTCATCGGTTCCATCCTTTTCAAAACTTACAGTGTGAGTGGAGCAGAAGTGCACAAGAAGCTAGCCACATATGAGAAGTGTAACTCATTCATATTTGTGCTTTTTAGCCACACTGGGTACGTGCTGTTGGTTATTTGGTTGGTTCACCACTATTACATGCAACTGCCATGAAATCTGAAGAGGAAGAATTAGCTTCAAAACTTCAGTACGATATGATATGTTCTGGTTAGTGTTGGACAGTGTTTGTGTACAGAGCGGGAGTTTGCAAGGACTGATGCACTGGTGTGGTCAGTTACATTTAAGAGTCTAAAAATGGATCTACCTGTTGGAAATAAATTGTTTCAAGTACTGAGGCCCATTCATACTTCACCACACACATGCATCAGATTCCCCTCAAAACACATGGCTGCCCCTCCCCCATGGATTCATTCATGCAGACGGGTGTTATGTAAGGGAGTTACCCTCCTCTCCCAGCAGATATGTCCTTGTATCAACTCCATGCGTCACGCCAGGACAGAGATGAAGAGCGAGACAGACAGACAGACAGACAGACAGACAGACAGATGGGGAGGGAGATAGAGAGCATGAACACAGATGAGAGGGCAAAAGAGGCAGAAGAAGACAAGGAGCTGAGAAAACATCAGGGAGAGAGAGAGAGAGAGAGAGAGGCCCTGCCATGGAGCTCAACTTCCAAAACCTGTGGAATGCACACACACACACACACACACACACACACGTTTAATAAGAGAGGAGGAGGTGCCCATTAAAAGGCCACTGGCAGGATAATAGGGATTTAGTGGGGGAAGCAAAAAGGAAGCGACGAAGGGAGAGTACTACTGGTACAAGCAGTGTTTGCTTTGTTTTGATAGTGAATCAGCTACATGTTGAGGATGTTGATCATTTTAATCAGATTAAGTTGCAAATTGTACAAATTGAGCATTTGATATAAATCAGAGGACAACACGAGCAACATTGTTGTTTTTGCCATCGTTATCACTTTGCATTACACTCAATCTTAAAATCAGATAATTTAAGATAAATATTGTTTTATAACTGAATGTACTGTGACGGTCATGACAAATATAATGAATGGTGGATACGGCTTATACTATAGATTATATTTATTTATAATTATACTGTAATATACATAAGATATATAAACTTGTCAGGTAAAGTTGCATGTGTCTAAAAACTTTAATGTCCCCCTCCAGTCAAAATGTCTTTTTGATGATGTGTGTGCAGAGTGACACTAGGAAGTTTCTCTGTGCTCATCTTAAATCTCAGATGTGTGTGACACAAGATTTTGTGACATCACAATATGTTTGGAAGTCAAACACGGCCCGGGATGCAGCTTATACAAGTCAAGCCCCCCCGGTTGGGAGTCAGACTTAACCGCTACGCTGCCCCATGATGTGGAAATCGCTGAAGCCTCCTGTGCACTGAGGTCGTTAAAGTGAAGTAGGAGGCATCTAGTGTCCAGCTGTTAAACCTTTGAAAGACTATTTTATTTTATTTCTTTAACATACACACATTCTGGATTTTATTTCATTTATTTATTTTAGTTTTTTGATGGAGCATAATTTTTAACAAGGCAAATTCTTGTATTGAATATACATGTCTGCAGTATTTTTATATGTCTCACAACATGTCTAGAGGTGATCTAGAAGTTTTATTCAACTGTTAGTATGGTAACAGTAGCTGTAGCAGTAGTGGCAGCTTCTAATAATTTTACAATATTGTGATGCCGATGGGAACCATGGTACGACTGCAGAAGTCCTACTACCCCCTCTACAGGACAGAGTGATTACTACCTATTCATCTGTCATTCAGTGCATTATGTGTTATATCCTCAGAGCTACAGGATTAGTCTTGTGTAATATGAGTGATCAGTGTTCAATGATTTGTTGTGAGAAACTCTTCAAGAAACTCAGCCGTGTCATTTTTCAGTTTATTTCTGAATGTATGAAAAGAGCAACAACAATCACCAGTGTCATTGGATAAAGTGCACTTCATATAAGCAGTGTCATCATCTTGAGACTCAATGAAAGCCTACTGACGCGACCAACTACATTACATCCTACTAGGTAATGCACACAATGATTCAAAAGTCACAGGCTCAATAATGCACATTGTGACATACTGTGTAATGCACATTGAATAATGCACACTATGAATACGCATACTGTAATACACAGCTGTGCTAACAAAGGAATATAAACGACTCTTTGGCTCACATACATATTACAAAGCATGCAATATAAAACTGCCTATACTCAGACAAAAACACACACTAATGTGCAAAAATGTGTCGACTCTGAAGTGATCCTACATGTTGAGGTTACTAGCAAACACACATTGTGGCAGTGTTTAAATTACAATCAGAGGTTTCACTCGTGTGGTCACAGGTCATCGACCCTCAGCAGCTACGGCAGGCCGTGAGTGAAGAATATTACCATTATCCAGACGTTTAGTTCCACGTTCGGGGAAATACACTTATTTTACAGTCTTTGTTCTAATGAAATTAGCAAGTTAGCATAGAACAAAAGACGCGATAGAGACGAGATTGGCATTGGCGTTGCTTTCCATCTCTGGAGACAGCTCTTGGTTGAGTAAAGGAATGAGGTTAGATGCTGAACTCACAACGTTTCTTCTAGACTGGTAAGTAAACAGCTGTTAACATTAGCAACGTTAGCAATGTACAAATAGCAAAACTTTCATTAGCTCCTTTAATCTTCTCCGTCTTTTTACTGTATCTAACGCTCAGCAAAAAAGCAAATAAGTACATTTCCTAAAATGTCCCAAAATAGTGTTTGATTCCTATAAAGCCCAGCTTGACAAAATTTTGACTGAGAAATATTTCTGAGGCAGGTTTCTAGATACGAGTGCAATATGGGTCAAAGGTTGTGCTTTTTTCTAAAACATGCTAAACATATTAGACAAGAAAATATTTCAATATCATCCTGTGGTACCCTGAACATCTGATCGGGTATGAAAAATCACAGTGTCCACTTGAGATCCCCTCTGGGAAACGGCTGGGACGGAGAGATTTGGCAGTGTTTGCAGGAGTGAGACCAAGACAAAGGGCACAATGCCAGGAGGGAGGAAGAGGAGGGAAAGGACGCTGGATGAGAAAAGGCGGTGACAGTATCACATTAGTTACACTATTTTTTCCCCTAAATGAGTGTATTTAAATGCACATTAACATTCCCTTTATTCTTCTCTTGAAAAGTGATCAGCAGAAAAACACACCAATCCATACAGAATGTAAAAAATATAATTATTAAAGGCCATTTAGACCTGAAACAAGATGAATCTAATATTTAGAATGTAAGTGAGACTATGTAAACACAGCTAGTGAATGCAGTGTACCTGGATTTACACATTACAATGAGTCAGTGTGCCTCTCTGATTAAAACACTCTATGTATTATTTTGTACTATACATACAGTCAGTGCTGTCAACCTTCGTCTAAGAGAAAACGTTTTTCATTTTCCACTCCCCTCCCTTCCAGAACAATCACAGACCTGCGGCTTGTTGAAGCTGTCGAGCAAGTGAAACAAAGTGATGTGCAATTAAGCCATACATTTGCTCTCTCTTACAGACAATCCGTCTGCCTCGCCGCGTGCCTCACTTGTTCCAGAGCTTTCCCTCAGCAGCCAGCCTCTGGCTGAGCCGACAGAGCTGCCGAAGGAAGCCGTCGTTGGGTCCGATTTCTCTTTTCTGCCGCACCATGGCCAGAGCGGTGTGGACGTCCATGTTCTGGCGAAGCATCAGGTAGGCTATGACTAAGGTTGGCGAGCGGCTGTAGCCTTCCCTGCAATGAACGTACACTTTACCTGCAGGGGAGAAGAGAAAAGCAGATGTTCCAGTTTGATCCAAATCACAAGAGTGGTGTCTGACATATTATGTTTTGGCCACCTTAGGGAAGTGGAAAATCTAAAATGAATTATTTTACTTTACATAAAACTATTTGTTGACAAGCAGAGGTGCACCATCAGGAGAAGTAAACTAGGTAAATGCTTGGGGCCCCCAAAGGGTAAAAGGGCCCCTGAAGGCCCCTCATATTGGCACATTTTGCAATGACAACCCCTTAAACTCTTGACTTCTTCGCCTGGGGCCCCCCAGAGTCAGGGATCACCACTGTTGACGAGTTGATATTTTTTGTTGGTGGTGTATTTCAGTGTTTTCCACTGATAACAGCTGCTCATTGCTGCTAGAAACAAGCTTGATGAGAGTGGAGTGTGAGCCTGAAACAATGAGCTCAAACACTGTAGGTTGAAAACTTCTGTAGAGCCGATGTAACCATCAGACTCAAATTATAATCATCTTTGGTCTCGTCATTTCAAACACAGCCTTTGTCATGATTACACAGTCATTTGATCCATTGTTTCTAATTAGTGCAGCTTTAATATTGACCTTCAGGTAAAGCCCCTGATCAGGACAATTAGCATGTCTCAAAGTGGTGTCATCATCAGATCAATTAGTTTTTCACGAGCCTGCTTGAAGTCACAGAAAAGATCAAACTTGGAAGGGTTGTGTGTAATCTTCAGAGGTTTTCATATATCACATACTATGAGAAAAGGATGACTCTACATTTCACACATAAAAACAGGATTTCAGCTTCAGTTCATCTCAGCTCTGTTAACCCTCTGACCTTTTCCATTTTTGTATGCCAGCGCCTTCTCGATGAAGTCTGCCGCCTCTTCGAAGTAAACGCTGATGTCGAAGTGGTCGGTGTCGCTGGCTGGTATCCCGTGGTAGATGACGCCCGTGCCAGCGTAGAACTCGTTGTTGGTGTTGACGTGCATGAAGGAGTTTCCCTCCGCTGCGTTCAGGATGTGGGTGACGCCCAGACGCTTCAGACGCATCACGTTCGTCGCCACAAACCTGCATCAGGTTAGTAAGAAAAACAAACACATGCTGAGAAGCTTATTTCGCACGCACCACTGATGCTAACCTGATGTCAAGCAAAATACCTGTTGACCGTTTCTGTGTTCGGACTAAAGGCTGACTACTCTTCCTGGATCTATTTACCAGTCTCTGTAAAATTTCTGATTCTGTGTAAAATTCTTTTCTTCAGCATCGTGAACAATAGAATTTGTGCTGTTTAATGAGATAACTCAAGAACCACAAAACCAATTGTCAAGGTTTCTGAGCTGTTTTGGAGGAGAAAGGCACGAGGTAAATCACAATTTTGCTTAAAGGTCTCACATTTTACACTTTTGTAGTGTTTTATTTGAAGTGTTGAACCATTAGACACTGCTACGACACACTGCTGCGGAAGTGGGAAATGAACATTTTACATTGAGAAATTAGTTGATTAAACTGCTGACGTCTATGTGACTCTCAGTGTTGAGAGAGGACAGTCCTTTCAGACAACAACCACGCTCATTTCCTCTCTTCCATGCGACATGAATTAAAGAGATATGATTGATCACATCGTGTCTGTGCAACAGCTGCTGACTGGGTTGATTCAATCAGTCATACATTCAGATGTTGATCACGCCTCCCTCAGTACAATGGCCCTTTAATGTCGACTCTCAGTTGACTGTCAGCTGACTCTCATCCGCCTACGTCACAGTGTAAACACAGAGAGTCACAGAGGCATCACCAATTTAATACACTGATTACTCAATCTCCCACACCTGTCTCTCTTTCTTCCCCCTCAACCTCCCTCACACGCTCCTGCATTTTCAGGCACCTCTCCAGATGTTATTCCACATCTGCCCACCAGTTGCTCTCAGAGAGTTTGCCAAAGACCTCACCTGCACCTTATTACCCATTAGCCCCACAGTATTTAAACCTGCCCCGTTACAAGAGTCACTTGCCAGATTGTCCTCCTGCCTGTCCCCCATCCAGATTCTGCTGGATGCTCATTGCCTGTGCTTTTTGACCTGCTACCTGTTGCCTTAGCTCTGTTGGATTTGTTTGAGTCCTGACACCACTTTCTCATTACCATCCTTTAAGCCTGTTCAGCAAAATGCTTTTCTTCACATGGAATTACTGTGTCTTTTGAGAGCTAAATATGAACAAGACTAGGTCAAAACCTAATATATGTCTGGACCTCTGTCTGGGATCCATAATAGTTAAACCATTATTTACCTCAACTCCAGAACGTGACAGATTTTTATTAGAGGAAGGTCTTTATGTCTAACAAGCTCTGTTTGATATGTAGAGTTGGTCATGGCCTGTGGTGTTAAAGTTACGTGATAAAACAAGCTCATCGCTTCCTGTAACCATTTCAAGTAAAAAGTCCTCCTCCGTTTTAATGGGCAGAAACCCTTTATGTGTTAACCGCACTTTTATTGCTGTGCTGCTATAAGCATGTTGTCTCATTTCCTGTTGCTAGTGTTTCTGTTGTTTACATGTCATTCAGATCTGCTAGTTTCTTTAGCAGTTAGCGATGACTTCTCTCTCTCCCTCCCTCTCTCCTGGTCTCTCTGCCCGCTGTCTGATACATGTAATGTAACAAAGGCGAGGCTCAGTGTATTGGAAGCGCTCCTCCGCTTCCCTGCAGTTCGCTAGCAGCCAGGAAACCAGAGAAGCTCAGTAGACTGCACATAAGGAGGCGTAGCCCTGCTTGGCATCCATACACGGTCCAGTCATGTACCAGGTTTATACCTAGTCTTGTTTCAAAAAAAGCCTCTAAATCTAGCGACAACGTGCCAAGTTGGCAACACTGCAGGCTGTAAACACCGCCCTAATGGAACCTGTTTGCAGGTTGTCAGTCAGTCAGTCAGTCAGTCAGTCAGTCAGTCAGTCAGGGACACTCCAGATCATACAGCTGGCCCTGCTGTTGCAATCTAGCCAAAGATGTATTTAATAGCCAAGACACACTGTGCAATTAAATAATAATAATCCCTAAAAAGAAGAGCTGTTTCATTATTAATCCACATTGCCTGTGTAGAGGGAATTTCATGAAGCGATGAAGCATACTTGATAAAAAACATCTGTGATTAGTTACTGTTTACAGGGATGTGAACAGGGATTACTTGATTTGATCCACCAGAGCAGCCACCGATCAAATTACCAAATTACACTGCAAATAAATGGTGATCCTGATAATTACACATGTGAAGCTGCAGAGAGCAAACTGTGGGACTATAATTCAGCTGCTAATGAAACTGTGTCACAGTAAACTAAATTTAGAAACAAATCTGTATTCAGACTGTCTGCATTTCCCTTTCCACCCACATCTAGCCTGGTTATTATATTGTGTGTGTATATAGCGATTATTTTTTTATAGTCACACCAAATGTCACTATATAATGATAATTTCTTTATAATTTATTGCATATTTCTTTATATTTTCCTTATTTATAATTTGCTTTATTTCTTAATAGCAGAGTGCATTATATAACACTGTTGATACAAGCTTTGACTAAGTGTCAGTTTTGGTGTGCCTTGGAATTGAGAATTCATTTTCCATTTTCCTTTCTCTGTCATACAAAAGCTCTGCTGCGTCTCACTGTGAACCTCTGGGACTGCTCCCGCCTTTTAGATGTAGAGACCTAAAAATAGAGTCGATGCACACTGGTGCTGATACTGAATGCAACATCTCGCCTCCACAAAAAGGGGAACAAGGACAGAAACATTGAAAAAAAAAAACACCATCTCAGATGGGATGATCTGTGTTTGCATACTTTCTTGTCTCGGCTCCTCAGCGCTGTGTTGATGCACTTGTGGGTTCTAACCTATTTTTGTGAAGTCATTTGCACTGAAAAAAACAAAGTGTTTCTGCTCCGTCCATTATGACTCCTTCAGGAAGGCGGGCAGATGAATGGAGGCACGCTCCTGAAATACACTGCTCTGACTCACTGTGCTGAAAAAAAAAAAAAACATCTTAGAGCTTGTGTTTTAAAGCTTTCAGATCTAACCATTTAAAATTTAGATGAACGTTTTGCTTACAAGCCTGGAATATACAGTTCCCAAACAGACATTCTGTAGGCTATGTCAAGTGCTGTGAACAAAAAATCATTTTGTGTGCAGTAATCTGGATGATTTTGAACAAGCTCAGTCAGGAAATGTTGTGTTTGCCTTTATAGTCCTGAAAGAGTTTATTATGCAAGAGTATCATCTTTATCATGGGCAACACTGTTTGATGGTGTTGCATTTTAAGTTAAAGTGATTTCCAGCTTTACTGGTAACCTGGTGCACATTATAGGTGCTAATGCTACAATAAATGGATATATATGTGTTTCTTTCCGAATTGAGGAATCAGTAATGTTATTTACAGAGACTGAGATATAGGGCATGCCATTTAAATTCCACAGGAGACTGGCAGGTGAAGCACAAGCTATTTTCAACTCCTCTGTACCTGCCAGCTTCTGTTTCTGCTCTATTTTGCCTTTTGATAACACTCCTCCACCTCCTCAAAAATTCAACAAGCCCTGTACGCCTCTCTCAGCAGACAGTCAACCCAACGGGGAAATAAAACTGCTGTTTAAAAAGAAAAAAAAATACTTAAAAAAGAAATTAAATTATTTTTATTTTAATTTTAATTTTTTTTTTTTTTTTTTAACTGGAGACCATGTTGCAATGGGGAGACTCATGGGGGTCAGACCACACCCATCACTTCGACCTCAACTACACACATAGACAGATAAACACCTGCTACACACACACACACACACACACNAGAGACTGAGATATAGGGCATGCCATTTAAATTCCACAGGAGACTGGCAGGTGAAGCACAAGCTATTTTCAACTCCTCTGTACCTGCCAGCTTCTGTTTCTGCTCTATTTTGCCTTTTGATAACACTCCTCCACCTCCTCAAAAATTCAACAAGCCCTGTACGCCTCTCTCAGCAGACAGTCAACCCAACAGGGAAATAAAACTACTGTTTAAAAAGAAAAAAAAAATACTTAAAAAAGAAATTAAATTATTTTAATTTTAATTTTAATTTTAATTTTTTTTTTTTTTTTAAACTGGAGACCATGTTGCAATGGGGAGACTCATGGGGGTCAGACCACACCCATCACTTCGACCTCAACTACACACATAGACAGATAAACACCTGCTACACACACACACACACACACACAGGGTGAAAACAATAGGCCAGTACTGGCCACGACTAACAACAGTCACTCTGTAGTGGCTGATAAATATAAGCTATATGAGAGATTACAGTGGCTAATTATGGTACAATAGTGAGTCCATACTGACCTTATTCTAAGTCATGGTTTTCATTCTCCTGAATACTTCTAGATTATTCCTAAACACATGCAGAAGCCTGTCACATTCTTGCAAACACACACACTGGAAGTTACTCTATTTTCTTTCCATCTTTTGTGGTATAATGATATTATGATATCCATGTGCTGAGTCATAATATTGCTGGAAATGTGTAAAATCACAGTATCGCCACAGTAATAGAATAAAACAGAGGAATAAGAGGAAGAATTGGGTCATTAAACTTGAATGTATTGTTTTATTTCCGTCATATTAGAGGAATACTGATTCCGTGTCCGCTGCACGACTTGAATTAGAGGGAGACACGTTAACTGTAATGTAAAATATCCCTAAGTGGAAAAATTGGGGGTTATTACAATGATTTCAACAATGACTCACGCATTGCCGACGTAAATCCTCGGGTAAACCTCGTGGAAGTGTTTGGTCGGCCAGCTGTAGAAGCCGCTGTCGTCTGTCAACAGATCATTGAGCTGCTGGAGAGACACCTCGAAGCTCGACATGTCGAGTCGGTCCGGAGCCGCTGCCTTCACCTGTTGGTTGTGTTTGTTCTTCATACCCGAAGACCGAGCTGACACCTCCGGCAAACACACAGAGGAGGAGGAGGAGGAGGAGGAGGAAGGTGGTGAAGGTGGCGGACAGGTGTCGGTTTACCAGGCGGGAGACCGGTGGAGGGCTGCTCCGCTCTGAGTGGCCTCCAGCGCGCCTCTGAACACCGAGCTGCTCGGTGGTGGGAAAACCAAACCCACATCCAGGGCCGGTCATGGCTTTTTGGGGGGCTTAGGTCGGTGGTTCCCATCCAGGGGGTCCAGAGATCATTACAGAGAAAAGACAAACATTACATATCTTCACACAAGGGTGCATATAGAAGCCCTGAGTGGCTAAGTTAATAAAAATAACGAGACCCCTACCGAAGCCTTAGCCAATTGAAAAACATTTCTACCCAAAAGAGCAGTAATGTTACATAACATGCTAACAGAGTCAGTCTGAATGTGCAAAAGTGTGTTTCCAAATCTTAAGACCATTAATTCAAGTACTCTCGCCATGATGTTAAATGAGAAAATACTATTTATAAAGACTAACATACTATTTTGAGCCGTTTTTCCTTAGAACAGGACAATTTTCACATGTCCGTATTAAACAACTTGACATTTGTACCTAAAATATCACCAATACATGTAATATTTTTTATCAAACCTTTATTATTGTCAGGATCATATGTGTGTCCATATTTACATAAGTTTTTTTTTTTTTAATAAAAATATACTTTTTTGTAAAAATGTAATAATTCGTGTGTGTCTCATTTTGATTTATCGCCCCGTCACATCAACATGTTTTGTCTATAAACAATGTGCTGTTGCTTTAACCGACATCACAAAGAGGTTCATTGTTTATTTCATTTCATCATTCATTATTATCTGTCATCCATTAAAAGGTCTTGATCTGTTAGGTGACGATTGATTATCTTTGTCTCCGCCTACGTTGTCTGGCGGGAAAAATCGGCGGTAGTTCCTGTTGTTGTGTTGTGCTCGGAATAAACGGATGACCGAGAAAACCGCACTCGTGATTTTGTTTAACGACTTTTCTGCCCATTTACGGACGAGTGTAACACATACAGTGTATTTCAGGTGAGCTCCCCTTTACCTTTACACACACGTGGTATCATTTAGTTTAAATCACCTTGGTTCGGATTTATTGACTGATAAAATGAACAGAATTTCTCATTTAGATCTGACATATAGAGATGAGACAGTTTACCAGTAAAGGCGCGGAGGAGCCCAGTCCAGCTCCAGTGAGGCTGATCACCTGAGGAAGAGGAGGAGGGACGATGAGGAGGCCTCCACAGGGAAGAGATGGAGGAGGAGTCTGGATGGAGGAGTATGGTGAACTTACACTCACCAGTAGCATTAACACTCGGGACCCTTTCTGTTGATGCTTCAGAGAGAAGCACCCATCGCTCTCACTGGGTGCCTCAGCACCGTCACAGTTCACGGTGCGCTACCATTAAAATGTGAAATGATAAATGACATGAAGAACTTAACTGTGCCAGAGAGGATTTTTATTGATATGCAGATTTAAAGAAATATTGCGTTCATAATGCTTTTCAGGAAAAAGTGATATTAAAATCAAATGTGCAAATGCCGCAGTTTGTCATCAGTCAAGCTGGCGGTCGAATTAGGAAGAGAGAGTCGTTCTCCAAACAGCCGTGCAGAGAAGCTGGCGGCGCTGATTGCATGTGTCGCAGCCCAGCTGAACTCTCCAAAGTCGAACCGCGAGCAAAGCTGCTTTGGCAGCTCGGCTTTGAGAGGATACTGCTTCAATCAAGGGAAACGAACAAAGAGGAGTCACAGGTAACAGATAACACACGGTTTGAGACCGCAGTACGGTCAGCGGATGATGCCAGACCAGCTGGAATCATCTCAGGGAAGTGTGTGAGCCATGCTTTGACCTCCAGACAATCTACAGTGTAAGGCTTTAAAGCTTACTGGGCTGCTCACTGATCTACCTGTCATTACTTAACCTGTTTAACCTCTGACTGATGATCTCAGATGAAAGCAGCTTTAGCAACTTAACACGGGAAATGTTTCATCATTAAAAGCTAGAATCAATGTTTTGTGCACTGTGATGACTGAGAGGGGTCATGCCAAACAACATGTGATTTCCTGTGTGCACCATGTAACTCCCCCTTGTCTTCACCTCCTGAAAGCTCATAATATCTGCTACTTAGCCATTAGGATATCAGCTCAGATTCCTACAGCGTGCTAATCTACAGTCGGTAGGCGATACAAGCTTTCAGAAAAATCTCCCGTCAGAGTCGTTAGCACATCTGGGGATGCATCTTTGCCGCCCGGCAGCGCAGGACTTTCAGGAAGCTGTCAATCTTGTGGGAGTCCCGTCGGAAGCAGGACAGCAGGAAGTGGAAGTTGATCAGTTTGGAAATCCTGTCCTGGCCGATGTCATTGCCTCTCCTGTAGGGCAGAAATGAGATGGTCTGAGCCGCTGGACCCATCTGGGAGAGAAGGGAGTCGGGGAGAGTGGGAGGGAGGGTTGGGAAAGAAAACATTAACATTTTTTAAATACAGTACAGTACCATGGAAATGCATTTTTTCAAGCCAGATTTGCACACCTTGCTAGACAGGATATCCAGGCCGTCTCCCAGGCTCTTGGAGTGCTCCTGCATCTCCTGGATCTTGTTGAATATGCTGCTTTGTGCCGGGTGAGGCAGCGTGTTAGCAGAGGAGGACAGGACCACCAGGGGGTCGATCCAGGCTTGGAGCAGAGAGCGAACCAGTGACAACAGGTCTGCCTCCTGGAGGAAGAGAGCGGTAAAGTGAGACATCGCTGAAACAAACTAAAGCAAAGAACAAAGGAGACGGGAGAAAAAAAAAAAAAAAAAAAAAAAAAAGAGAGATAACAGTAACTCACTGATATTTGAAGAGCCTGCGCTTTGTCATTGGGTGTCTGTAGAGAGGAGGTGTGGCACATTGAGGGCCGGGGCGTGATCACCCGACCTATGGGAGGGAAGTGAGAGTCCTGGGAGGGACAGAGGAGGGCTGTTGTTTGAACTGTATTAATTAGCTTGACAGAAAAACATGTTTTCACCTTGATGGAGAGAAAAACTTCAAAATTTTGCACATTGATTTTCATACATTGATTGATGAGATCTAATAGAATGAAACCATTAGTATAGGTGCTTCTGACACACACACACACACACACACACACTGACACACACAGGTACCGACCAGCTCTTTGGTGAGTGTCGTGCTGAGGGAGTGCAGTGTGTCAGAGCGCTGAGAGGCTCGGTCGAGCAGGTCAGTGACGGGGACGGCACTGCACGACGCCACCATGTACAGCGCTGTGGAGTCGTGGGAAAGTGATTTAAATTTTGATTTAAATGTAAACGTGTGCATGGACAGTGGGACAGGTCGGCCTCCTGCAACCAGCAGCAAGAACAGACTGCAGCCTGATATTTCAGTATGTTTATACCTTTCTTCAAGATACTGAATGTTTTCTGAGGGATTTAATGAATTACTAACAGTTGATGAATGAATGAATGGATGAATTTGTTAGATGAAAACTGAAATACTACAGCATTGAATGATAGCTCAACCAAAACTGGATTTCTGAGGCTGATACCAATATCAATATTTTATACTTTTAAAAATTTTTGGCATTTTTCTTCTACAGTTTTTATTTATTTACCAGCAGACATATAAAGCTATTACCAGTGTCCTATGTGATGAGCTAATATCTACAGATATAACAGCCGAGGTGATTCATCGGTAGAGCTCTAGTATGTACAAAATATTCAAAATCTCTGATTTGACTAGTAGAGCATTTTGATGAAATATTTTTCACTGAACCGTAAGAGGTGTACAAACATTTGTGTTTTTCATTTATTAGATATTAATCCAACCCTACGAAGCCAGATACATTTCTTATTATTTTAACGTCAGACGCTCAGCTTGAGAACAGGCAAGGCAGGCAACTCCTCGGGGCCCCAGGCTGTTAGAGGGCCGACAAACTTTACCCCCCAGCAGTGTCTCAAAATGCAGCTTCCTCCCCCTTAAACAACCAATGAACGATTTGCGACACCTCAGACACCTCGGACGCAGAAGTGTTCCCAACTATTTTCAGTGAAGCCTGAACATGCATACAATAAAAAAAAATGTATTAAAAAAAACAAAAGATAATTAAAATAAACAGAGATCAACTATCTGGTCTTATAATGTGGGTTATTTAAATTGTGACAACGTTGAAGTCATTAAGTTATTCATTTAAGTCTTTATTGTTCTTTACATCTATATTTTGAAAAATACAAGGTCTTTTATGTTTATGTAATAACGGAACAAAAAATGTTTAGATTTCAAACATTTTTCTTTGGTGTCAGATTATTTAATACATAATTGTGATGAATGCTGATTGGAGGGGCCCCGTGCCATTTTTTTGCCTATAGGGCCCCAACAGACTCTAGATTCACCACTGTTCAGTGTAACACACAGAACTGTAACGATCGGAGACATTTCAACCTTTCAAGAAAAAAACTCATCTCACCCGTCATCAAGAGTTTGCTTCCAGTGGTTCTTCTGTGGGCCATCTCTGCTCCTGTTTCTTGCCTCTTTCCCGTCGCTGTTTCATCCTCTTGCTGCGTTTCACCTCCACTTTATAGCTGCTCTGCTCCAACACGCTGGTTATGCAGCAGTTACAGCGACTGTGCGCTAATTGTCTGGATCTAGTTTGGTCCAGTTCGTAATGAGAAACATGGTCAAGGAGATTTGAATGGATGCAACAGGATGGAGTTTGTGTGTGTGTGTGTGTGTGTGTGTGTGTGTGTGTGTGTGTGTGTGTGTGGGGGTGTGTGGAAAAAGTTCCTTCCACATCTTAATTGGGGGGATGAATAAAAACACTGATGTCCACACAGTGTTTTGTAATAACTCTGCGACACAGATCTTAATTCATTACAACGTCATGTGAAGGTTAAATTACTGATGACCACGTAAGTCTGTAAGTCACCTGCTCTCTTCATGTGGCTGCACGTTAACCCACCTGCCAAACTCTAATCTATGTTCCACACTGAGATCAGACACGTTTCTTTGTCTTTACAGACTTCTTTCATTGCGGTTTGATTGTGCTGTGTTGGTTTTTAGATGTTTTAGACTGACTTTAGTATCTGTTCTGTTGTGTAACCATCTATTTCTATGACTCCCCCTCAGACTCCATCTGTCTTTGAGGGTGTAACCTGTAGACAACCCAGCGTATAAAGGCTGGATATCTACTGTATCTAACTCTGAATTATTACAGGACGGACCTTTACCTCTCCTGGTGTGTATAAATAAATCCATTGTACAGTTATTCTGTTTTAGCGTCCACAGATAATCCTGCAGCGCACCGTGCAGCGTATAACAGCATCCACTCGTTTCATGTTGTATAATATTTTACTGAGCAATGTCGTTCACTGTTTATTCAGTATACTGTTGAAGTCATGGTCCTACTTATTGGATACTTATAGGATTTGTGTTTTGTTGACATTGGCTGTGCCTCCTCATTGTTTGGGATCCCAGAGACAACACTGCAGCATGTGTAAAAATACAATGAGTTTAACTTTTTTCCCCCTTCGTTTTTCTTATGAGATATTAAAACCTAATATGTAGTTTTTAGTTTTATTTATTTTTTCACAATTTAAAATACACAGAAAAACGACAAAGTAAACAAAAAGCATTCAGTGCAGGGAGAGACAGAACGCCCAGTGGGCTTATTTAAAGTAATGTTGAAATATCTCAAAATGATTAAAAAATACAAAATGAACATACAAGAAAATAATGTGACTACATAAAAATGATGAGAAAATAATACATTCAAATATATATATAAAAAAAAATGTGAGAATGTGATGTGTATGAGTTTAACTCCATGAGCAATAGTGCTAATACATGTCAATATGAGCAAAACAAATAAAACATTAATACATGGACAGTAACAAAACAGTTATAAAACAGCAGTTAAATGATCTTAAGCATCTTCTGTAACATTTTATATAGGCAGCAAAGTCACTCCATAATGTGATACCCCTTAATCTTATTGGAAATTGACCTCTGCATGGAGGAAACTACTGAGGTAGTAACTTCAAATAGTAAGTGGTAACAAAATATGACCATATAATGTCGTTATTACACCAAATGAGGTAAAAAAAAATCTTTACAAATTTAAATTTGTTTTCCAAAAAGTCATCCACAGACAATAACTGTGCAGTATCTTATACAACATACTGACATTATTTAGTGTTTGGGGAGAGTTGAGAGGTGTAATGTACCGTTACTGTTAAAACGAGGATGATATGTCCCCTGCAGACATTAGTTATGGTTAAATGAACCTGTTACGTGTGTGGCTGGTGTCAGACGTGTTGACGGACAGAGGCAGGAGCTTAGTGGGGACATCTGGTGGACGCGTGTGGAATGGCTGCTCTGACACGACACTGCAACATGAGCTGAAGAAACGGGGAACACAAAGAGAGAACAGGATGTGACAGACGACAGGGACACACTGTACTTTTTACTCTCTTCTTCTGGGCTCTGAGTGAATGTTGCACTAAATGTTAAAAGTTCAAAACAAACGGTGACGTATGAGACAAGCTGACAACAGAACACAGAGACATGAAGGCAGCTGATGACTGTGGGTAATGTGATGACATACTGACAGAAACAGAAGGTAGAGGCTTCGAGCTGACACAAGTGTGCGTTTATAGTATATATTTAAACATTTTTCACCACTTTCAAAAGAAAAATATCTGTGTGTTTGCAGGGGTACACAAATACACGAATGAGGATCTGTATTTACAACATCTGTTTTGTACTTGTGAGATCCAGCTGTGTGAATACAGGAATATACAGATGTTGGATTTAGTTTGCTGAGACACAAGCGTCCAATTTTTTTCACCCTGAAACTTTATCGGCTTTTGTAAATCTTATAAAATCCTGTGTAAATTACAGATGAACTATTTCTACATATAGTAAGTCAACCAGCATCAGTTACACTCACTGGCCCCTTTATTAAATACACCTGAAATCTAATGCAACGTCATAATGTTGAGTTTTTGGTGACACTGTTGGAAGATGTGTAAATTTAATCATATGTTTATTAAGAGCTAAACAGGTAATGCTAAAGCTGGTGATGTATACTGAGTACATGGTACAGCAGATCCAGCACAGCAACATATGATTAAATGAACAGCTCTGTGACAGTGTCAATAAAACCGAGCACTACAGGCTTCATAAACTAGACTTTAACAGTTGTATTGATTTACATTACACTTAAGTAAGTGGCAGCTGTGTGAGCTTTCCTCTGAGGTCATAGTTTTCACAGTGTTTAACTGCGTCCTACAGCTGACAGACATTACGCCACATTTCTTGTCTTTAAAATGCGGAAAAGTCGTGACGCTGACAAAATACTGTTAAGTTTCTTGTTTGAGTCTCAAACAGAATAATTAAGAATTAAATTAATCATTTCTTTACCCATGACAGGAAACGTCCTCTTTAAAGGACATTACACACACACTGTCTGCACATTCTCTCACTGTGGAAGAAGCTGTTGCAGCCATGTGTTCAACAGCCAAGAGGTCACCTGTGTACTCAACATTTCCCATGACACTTTGCTCTAAACACCCCTCCTATGGCAGGACCCCCACCTTCCCCCACCCAGTCTCCACACATGAAGCACTGAACATGTGCAAACATGAACTATACATGTGCTGCAGGGTGACCTACAGACTGACTTTGACGGCTCCTCTGATTGTATCTCCTGGATGGTTCCACCTCCAATAGGCGACACGCACACACACACACACACACACATTTTTTAAAATCCCCAGTTGCTGTCCTTTTGTTGCCAGGAAAACAGGTTTCTGTTTCTGCTTTGAGTTCCAAAGCCAAACTGAGGGTGTGTGTGTGTTTTGGGTGTTTTAACAAATATGGTGTTTGTTCTGCAGAGTCAGCGTGGAGCCTGAGGGTCTTAGCTGTTTGCATATGAGTGAGGATTAGATAAGGAGATGAGGGCTGACATGAAGATGAGACTGTGGGCAACATGATGACCAGAGGAGCCGTGTTTCACCTTGCCGCAGGACGCTGCAGCCAGGTGGACAATGCTTCATACGTGCACCACCTTCCTTCTCTTTAGCTCCGTTTAACCCTCATACAAGGAGCTTCAACTTTTTTTTTTTTTTTCAAGCCTGTTGCTCTTTTGCCTCAAGCTTCCTTCTCACTCTCTCTCCTCTTTTTTCTTTCTTCCCTCTCCCCTCCCCCTCTTCTGTCCGTCAGCCCCTGGCAGTGAATGTATACACTGAGTGCACACACATGCACACACATGAACGCAGGGCAATAAACCGGAGCTACACACCCCCTTTTTCAGTGAGATCACATTGCCCACCGCAGAGAAGTTGCAGCACACTCGAGCCCTGCTTGGCATTTTTCAGCTGGTTCCTGCGCACACTTAGGACACTTTTCCAGCCGCCTAACTCAGGACCGAAGACGTCCCATCTGCAGATAGGTAGGAATTAACAGCACTGCTTGTTGAATTCACTCCCGTTTGCTGGGTTTCTGCACAGGAAGCCACTTGTGTTGCCTGAAGTACATGGTGTTCCTTTTTGTCCCAGTGCACATGGGCTCACAGTGAGGTGTGGAATTGGCTTCACACTGAAGAATGTTTCTATATGTTGCACAAATAAACTTTTTTTTTTTTTTACATTTAAAAACTTTTTTTTTTTAATATAGAACCTGTTTGATTTGGACACCATGTACTTTGATGAACATCTCATTGCTTTATATCTTATTGCATATGTAGAGAGAGGGTTGTTTCTGCAGGAGCAACTGAGCACAGGAGGTTTTTCCACGCAAGGAGTTAAATGATTGACATTTTATGCTGATGTAATTTAGGTTCAGCACACTTTTTTTCTTAATGGGATATGAATGAGAAGCTCGCGCTATTTTAGGAAACACTAGAGGCCAGTTCATGCGGGTCATCTTGGTTTAAAATGAATAAAAAGAAAGAAAAAAGTTTGCAGCAATGTGTCAGGGCTGGGGAGGGTTTTGAAGCTCCCGCAAATCTTTTCCACGCAGCACTACATTTCCCATAATCCACAGCGTCGTAGATTTCTATTTAAAAAGATCTGAACAGGTGAGCAGCAGTCGCGAGAGTGACAAGGAGTTGTCGAGGCGAATTGATCAGGTGAGACACGCCAGGAAGGCTCATTGATGGTTTATTTTACCAATGATGTACGTGTTTTAGACTGTGGGGGGGGGGTTAATGTGGTCGGTGGGATCAGTGGAGTTTTATCGTCAGAATAACTTTCAAAGGAGGAGCAGAGTTTGTGCGCACCGAGGAGATTCACGCAGAGAAGCAGCAGCTGCAGCAGCTTGATGCAGAATTCAAACTTCTTCTGCAGGTTGTTGCGTAACGTCTGAGAAACGCCACGCACTCACGTAACATTACTGAAGCGTCAGTGCTGATGGATGATGATCTTTGGTCATAACTAAGTCCACATCATGTTAAAGTGTCGATTGACCCAGATCACAAAAAAAACATACTCTCACACTTGTTACTAGAAGT